GTGGAGGAGTCCTACGTCCGCTACGGCATCAAGCCCGACTGGCTGCTCATTCACCGGCTGATCAACCACCGCAAGTCCCGCGGGAAGCTCTTCTACGTCATCAAGTGGCGCGAGCTGGCCTACGACGAGGTGACCGTGGAGGCGGAGCCGGACAACTGCGAGTTTCCCATTCCCGACTACAAGAAGAAGGTGGACGAGTACTGGGCGCTCCGTCGGACGGTGGAGGAGGAGCACGCCATTGAGAATGACAAGGCCTCGGGCTCGTCTTCTTCAAAGCGCAAGGACAAGGACGACAAGCGCAAGAGCAAGGACAAGAAGGGCGGCGGCAGTACCGGACTCAAGGCACGCGGCCTCGGCTCCGCCCCCAAGTCCGATCCGAAGAAGAAGTGGGAGGTGCAGCCGGACTACATTCCGGAGCCGCTGAAGCTGCACGAGTACCAGAAGGAGGGCATCAACTGGCTGCGCTTCAGCTGGGCCAACGGCATCGACACCATCCTCGCCGACGAGATGGGCCTCGGCAAGACCATCCAGACGGTGGTCTTCCTCTACTCGCTCTACAAGGAGGGCCACACGCGCGGCCCCTTCCTCATTGCCGCCCCCCTCTCCACCATCATCAACTGGGAGCGCGAGCTGGAGGACTGGTGTCCGGACTTCTACACCGTCAACTACACCGGCCTCAAGGAGTCGCGCATTATCATTCGCGAGAATGAGCTCAGCTTTGACCCGGACGCCACCCGCTCCTCGCAGAAGGCGATGAAGCTGCGGAAGAATGCGCCCGTCAAATTTCACGTGCTGCTCACCTCCTACGAGCTGATCAACTCCGACCACACCCTCCTCGGCTCCATCGACTGGAAGGTGCTGGTGGTGGACGAGGCGCATCGGCTGAAGAGCAGCTCGTCGCTCTTCTTTCGCACGCTCAACGCCTACAATGTAGGGCACAAGCTGCTGCTGACGGGCACGCCGCTGCAGAACAACCTCGAGGAGCTCTTCAATCTGCTGAACTTTCTCAGCCCCAATCGGTTCAAGTAGGTTTTGTGGTTGTTTGTGTTTTGTGACTTTTTGCCTAATCATTATCCTTTTCCTCTTTCCTCTCAGTGACATGGAGGGCTTCCTCAGCGAGTTTTCCGACATTGCCAAGGAGGAGCAGGTGAAGAAGCTGCACGACCTGCTGGGNCGGTTTTTGGTGTGTTTTGTGACTTTTTGCCTAATCATTTTCCTCCTTTTTCTTCTCAGTGACATGGAGGGCTTCCTCAGCGAGTTCTCCGACATTGCCAAGGNTTTGGTGTGTTTTGTGACTTTTTGCCTAATCATTTTCCTCCTCTTTCCTCTCAGTGACATGGAGGGCTTCCTCAGCGAGTTCTCCGACATTGCCAAGGAGGAGCAGGTGAAGAAGCTGCACGACCTGCTGGGCGCCCACTTGCTGCGCCGTCTGAAGGCCGACGTGCTCTCGGGCATGCCCGCCAAGTCGGAGTTTATTCTCCGCGTCGATCTGGCACCACAACAAAAGTACGTAGTTTAGAGGAGGACTTTTGTGTTCTGAAATGCTAATTTTCGTTCTTCTTTACTTTTCGCTCCCCTTAGGAAGTATTACAAGTACATTTTGACGCGAAACTTTGATGCGCTCAACTCGAAGGGCGGCGGCAAACAGGTTTCACTGCTGAACATTGTCATGGACCTGAAGAAGTGCTGCAACCATCCGTATCTGTTTCCAGTGGCGGCGGAGGTCAGTGACTGCCATTCTTTTTCTCTTATTTTGCTTTACCAGCTAACTTTCAACCACTTTTACAGGAGGCGCCCAAGACCAAGCTGGGCTACTTTGACGGCGGCCCGCTGGTGAAGGCCTGCGGCAAGCTGATTGTCCTGCAGAAGATGCTGCGCAAGCTGAAGAACGACGGCAACCGCGTGCTGATCTTCTCGCAGATGACGCAGATGCTCGACATACTGGAGGACTTTCTCGACGCGGAGGGCTACAAGTTTGAGCGCATCGACGGCTCCATCACCGGCT